TTTAAAGTTAAAGAAATGTTAATCAAATGAGAGCTTTTAGGAAGGATATTCTTGACAAGAAAATTGTTGAGAAAATTCTAATTACTATGCCCCCAAAATTTGACCCAATCGTGACAACAATAGAGGAAACCAAAGATCTGTCTACTCTATCAGTGACAGAACTAGTGGGCTCTCTTGAAGCATATGAGCAAAGACTACATAGACATAAAGAAGATACACTTGAAAATGCTTTTCAGTCAAAGCTCAAATTTAAGTCCCAAAATAAAGAAAATGGAGGAAAGAAAAATTATGGTGAAACTTCCAAAAGAAGAGAAGTTCCTAGAAATTTCCAAAAGAACAATCCAGATAAAAATATTCCATGCAATATATGCAAACGACTAGGCCACGAGGAGAAAAGTTGTTGGTACCGTAATATGCCACAATGCAATCATTGCAAGAAATTCGGGCACATAGAGAAACACTGTCGCAACAAAAATAGGCATCAAGCTAATATCGCAGAGGAGCATGATCAAGAACAGTGTATGTTTTATGCCACTCAAGAATCAATCAAAGAAAAAGGAGGAAGTTGGTACTTGGATAGTGGATGTAGCAATCACATGGCCAAGGATGAGACTATTTTCAAAAGCATTGATGAGTCAGTCAAAGTCAAAGTTCGACTAGGAAATGGAAGTGTGGTTGAGTCAAAAGGAAAAGGCACCGTCGTGGTAGAGACAGATAAAGGTACGCGACTCATCCATGATGTCTTACTAGTTCCCAGCCTAAAAGAAAATCTTCTAAGCATTGGCCAAATGATGGAGAAAGGCTACACACTTCACTTTGAAGGAGGTGTATGCAAAATCTTAGACAACAAGAATAAAAGGGCCGAGATAGCCGAAGTGAAGATGAATAAGAGCAATAGAAGCTTCTCGCTAAATTTAAAATATACAAATAACATTGCCATGAAGGTACAAGTTGATGATTCATGGCTTTGGCATCGAAGATTTGGCCACTTCAACACACATGCCTTGAAGTTGTTACATGATAAGAACATGATGAGAGATCTTCCAAGCATAAAGGATAACAATGAAGTGTGCGAAGCATGTCTCCTTGGTAAGCAACACCGATTTCCATTCTCAACAAGCGGAGCATGGAGAGCAAAAGATCTGTTGGAGCTGATACATACTGACGTCTGTGGACCGATGAAGATGCCATCATACGAGAACAACAGGTACTTCATACTCTTCATTGATGACTTCTCTAGAATGACATGGGTCTATTTCTTGAAAGAAAAATCAGAAGTTTTTGGAGTATTCAAAAGGTTCAAGGCCCTTGTTGAAAATCAAAGTGGAAAGCGGATAAAAGTACTAAGAAGTGATCGCGGCAAAGAGTACACATCCCGCGAGTTTGATAGTTTTTGTGAGGATGAAGGCATAGAGCGACAACTTACAGTCACATATTCTCCTCAGCAAAACGGTGTGTCTGAGAGAAAGAATCGAACAGTTATGGAGATGGCTAGATCGATGCTCAAAGAGAAGCGACTACCTAACACATTCTGGGCTGAAGCAGTCTACACTGCTGTTTACTTACTCAACAGATGTCCAACTAAACCTGTACAAGATAAGACTCCAATTGAGGCTTGGAACGGGAAGAAGCCATCAGCAAAGCACCTAAGGGTCTTTGGATCTATATGCTACATTCATATTCCAGACGTGAAGAGGCATAAGCTTGAAGACAAGACTATACGAGGTATCTTCTTGGGGTATAGCACAATATCTAAAGGCTACCGTGTATATAACTTGCAAACAAAAAAAACTCATCATCAGTCGAGATGTTGAAGTTGATGAGAATGCTTCCTGGAATTGGAATGAAGAAAAAGTGGAGAAGAATGTTCTTATACCCACTCAACTACCTCAAGAAGAAGCTGAGGAAGAAGTCCTAGGTGAACCTTCTTCACCTCCACCACAACAACAAGTTCAAGAACTATCATCACCAGAGTCTACTCCAAGATGAGTAAGATCTTTGAGAGACATATATGAAACCTGCAACATGGTCATACTCGAACCTGGAAGCTTTGAAGAAGCATCAAAGCATGAAGCATGGGTCAAGGCAATGGAAGAAGATATAAAGATGATCGAGAAAAATAACACATGGGAGTTAGTAAATTGTCCCCATGGAAAAGATATCATTGGGGTTAAGTGGGTCTATAAGACAAAGCTCAACCCTGATGGCACCATACAGAAACATAAGGCGAGGCTAGTAGCTAAGGGTTACTCACAACAACCTGGGGTTGACTACAATGAGACATTTGCACCAGTAGCTCGTCTTGATACCATTAGAGCTCTAATAGCTCTTGCGGCACAAAAAGGATGGAGTATACATCAACTGGATGTCAAATCTGCCTTCCTCAATGGTGTACTTGAAGAAGAGATCTATGTGGAGCAGCCACAAGGATTCATATCTGAAGGCGAAGAGAGCAAAGTGTTAAGACTAAGAAAAGCACTATACGGTTTGAAGCAAGCTCCTCGAGCATGGTATAGCAGAATCGATCAATATTTCATGGATCAAGGATTTAGGAGAAGCAAGAGTGAGCCCACACTATACATCAAGTCTCAAGGTCAGTACAATCTCTTACTCTCTCTATATGTAGATGACCTTATCTACACGGGAAACAATACTAAGATGATAACGGAGTTCAAAGAAGACATGATGAAGACCTTTGAGATGACCGACCTTGGTTTGATGAGTTACTTCCTCGGTATAGAGGTAAGCCAAAGAAATGAAGGGATATTCATCTCACAAAAGAAATACACAGAAGGCTTACTTAAGAAATTCAAGATGTACGGTTGCAAACCTGTCGCTACCCCACTCATAACAAATGAGAAACTACAAAAGAATGATGGAGCACCAGAAGCTGATGCCTCCAAATATCGAAGTTTAATTGGAAGCCTCCTATATTTGACAGCTACGCGGCCAGACATAATGTATGCTACAAGTCTTCTATCAAGATTCATGCAAAGTCCAAGTCAAATACACTTTGGAGCAGGAAAAAGAATTTTGAGATATCTACAAGGAACAAAAGAGTTAGGTATATGGTACTCTACCGAAACTAACTCAGGATTACTTGGCTACACCGATATTGGGCAGGTTCGGAAAATGACATGAAGAGCACCTCTGGCTATGCTTTCTCACTCGGATCAGGAATTTTCTCTTGGGCGTCGAAGAAGAAAGCTACGGTTGCACAATCCACAGCAGAAGCAGAGTACGTGGCAGTTGCTGAAGCAACGAGTCAGGCTATATGGTTTCGTAGGATACTTGAAGACATGGGAGAAAAACAGGATCAGCCAACTAAAATCAATTGCGACAACAAATCAGCAATTGCAATGGCAAAGAATCCAGTGCATCACAGTAGAACAAAACACATAACAATCAAGTATCACTTTATAAGAGAAGCTGAAGCAACTAAAGAGATCAAACTCGACTACTGCAGAACAGAAGATCAAATTGCAGACATATTCACGAAGGCGTTGCCGAGACCAAGATTTGAAGAGCTACGAGCTATGCTTGGAGTCAAAGAAATTTGTATCAAGGAGGAGTGTTAAATTTGCTACAAATTTCTAGAGAGTTCTTAAATATAATATGTAAGAAAATATAGAACATCCTAGAAACTATAAGGTGTATGAATATGGTAGAATAATCTAGATATATAAGTATATGGCAAAGATAGAAAAATTTAGATTTATCATGATAATAACCTATCATGAGAACTCTAAAATATTCACCACCATTGAAGGTTGGTGACTTGAGCCTATAAATAGGCATTTGCTACATTGTAAATTATCATCCAAGAAATTAATCACAAAACCTTCTTTCTAAACTACTCTCTAAAACTATCTTCTACCAACTATCATCTAAACAATTCCAAACATTACTTCATTTAAAAGCATTGACTTGTCTTATGTTTTGATTTTCAGAATTCTATACGATTGGAGGAAAGTCAGGATTGTAGTTGGACTCATATCTTTGTTAGGCAATTCAATTTCAGACTCTCAACTGATAGTAAAATGCAAATAATTATGATAGGTCTTTGCACTGGGTTGGCTCCTTTCATAGGTTTCTTGCAGGTTTGAACCAACGAACATAATGTTCATTCGTTTAATTATCTCTCATATTCAACAATCTATATGCTAATTGTCTGTGTTTGTTATTTTTGCTTTAGGAAAGATTAGCTCTGAACGAAGATGGAGCTGAACTGGACCCCTAATGTAATTGGTTCTCTTAATTTGGTGATTAAAAATTTGATATGGTTTTTATGACATACTTCTCTTTGCTGCATATTCATTCCAAATAGAATGCTAACAACATATTTTCATTTTTATCTTCCGTAGGTTTCTGTCGGGAATGGGTAAACAAGATCACACTCATTCACGGAAATGCACTTTTTTGTTAAAAATCATTTTATACAAACAATCGTGACGGTTTTATTTTCGCATGTGAAGTTATTTTGTGATATGTTCATTTTTGTTGATAACAAAGTATCACTACCGATGCTTTAAATCTCTGGCATGATGTATGTACAAGTTAAGAACTTCAAAAGATACATTGTTTTTATTATATTTCTCGAAAATTATGAGATCTTCTATTGGTCTCATTAATTACATTGATATCGTAATTCATAATAATGTCAGTGATAAAATATTAATCCATTACGATTCTTTCTTCTCTGTGCTTGAAACATGAACGCGTTGGCATATGTGGGATTATTCATCTTAATTTGTATCTCTGCTGTATTAGCACTTATTACAAATGTTACTTAAAAAAACTATTTATGTAGAAAACCTTAGCATCAACATATTCAACCATTAATTACAATTGCATTTTGGAAAACACCATTTTTTGATGTCTTTGTGAAAGTATACAAGTTACTACCTCATACTTATTCCTTCGACAGCAAAATTGCTTATATAAATAACACATAAAAGAACCACAAAGAATAACCAATCAACAAAAACCAAATCAGATTTTCAGAATTTAGAGCATCGCTGTGGCAAACCAGTACGATGATCAACCTCAACAACCTCAGTAGCATTATCACATTTAAGCACATCCTGTCCCAACTTAGCACCAGCAGCTTTAAGACCCTTAAGAGAAACAGCTTGATTGAAAAGATTCAAAGACGGTAATCTCGACGCGGAAGGCATTTTCATTCCTGGCAAGAAGTTTCTGAAATCATCTTTCAGTAATGGAACCTCAAAATCCATTTTATCATGCTTAACAACGTTGTCCTTTGCACTTATATGTGCACCAGGTTCCATATGGTTGGTTGAAAAGCTTGCTTGGTTTGGAAAATTTGGATAAAGACTTACATACCCTCTTAGATACATCATGTCTATGAGGAATTTTTTCCATGAAGCTTGCCAGCCGTTTGTTCTTGATTTCGGTATTTGAACCGGGTTTTTCTTGGCGTCTTCGGTGAATCTCATGTTCATGTAAACATAAAACTCTCTCCAGTGTTTAGGGAAAAAGACTGCTCCCCAACTGCATGGTAGTTGGTGAAGGTAAGGCGTGTTAGGATGGACTTGTTTGAAGAAGTCTGTTGCATTCCATTTTGGTCTTTCTTTGACAACTTCAACAATCTTTGGTGTGTAGAGAGAGATTGAAGAGAGTTGTGGGAGAGATACTTGAGGGTCATAATGGTAATTCATGAGTGCATATTTGATCCATAGATAGTAATAAGGTGAGACTTCAATGTCATCTTCAAGGAGTAAACCAAAGTTGTCATCTGAAGATGGATACCAACTTTCACTTACTGCTCTTATGAGTCCACCTTGGATGATTCTTCTTCTTAGTGTTTTGGGTCCATGTGGCCATTCAAATGAACCTACTAGTTTTATTGTTGATTCATCAACTTTGCTATCCATGTTGAAGGTGATTGGAATTTCATCTCCTAGATAGTATGCATTGGTGAGAGATTTTAGAAGCCTTGATAGGGAGTTTACCCTGTTTTGGGTTATGATGTTGATGGAAAGGCTCATCCTGTTCCAATCTGAAAGTGAAAAAATATATAAAATTCAACTTATTAGTACTAATTCAAGAAGTTTATATGATATTTTCTCACAATTAAGACTAAATGATTAATGATTGTGCAATACTATTAGGTATACACTCCTCTCATGCCCAACACTATTGGGCTTGGTGCGTTGATATAACAGTGAGTGATATATATTCTGATTGATATGTTCAAATATCATATTACAATTTGAGTTTGACCTAATTCATTCTTACAAAATCAACTTTTAAGATGGGGATTGTCTTCACTTATAAACAAATGTTGAGAACATATTATTTTTAATGTGGGACTCTTCAACAATCTCCTTCACGCCCAAGACTCGACATTAAATGGTAGGTGATCGATAGCAAAAACCTGATAACATATAGTCTAATGGATACGTGGATATAAATTATAGGTGGCTGATAGCGGAAACCTGATATCAAATGGCCTAATGAACCTTGGATAAACTCTTAAACCATCTTAAACTGCGTGAGTTGGCCTGAACTCATTCCTAAAAAATCAGTCTGTAGGCTAAAGATTGTCTCCGCTTAAAAACACGCGTTGAAACCGTATTTTTTACAATGTGAAACTCTTCAACTTCACAACCCTACTCATTTTAGGTATATCACATTATTAATAATCTAATCTAGAGTTAAGAAATGCAATTTAGAAGAAAAAAAATAGACTTTCTTACTTGGCAATGCTGTTGATCTAAGATCAGCCATCCAAAGAACTTTAGAAACAGATGCCCTAGGCAAAAGAACCAATGTAGTTCCATTTGAATTAGCTTCAGAAGCCATCTTCAAAGCCTTTCTTACATTAACATCAATATCATCCACAGTTATAACAACACTTGGGTTATGAATTTTAATCAAACCCTTCAAACTAGTATACACAGCTTGTATAACCGGTGCTTCGGAGTTCGACACGCCAGAAAGCGATCCAACGCCCAAATCAAAGATCTTAAACCTACGTTCTTTGCAAACCATTAAAGGCCATTTGAGAGCTGCTGCAGCATGCTCACAAGGACAGAAGTTTCCACCAGAGACAACAATGTAGGCCTTTTTGCCAACTGTGGACCTGAATTTTTCAAGAAGTGGTGAAAGTGCTTTTACTTCATCAACTGAATGAGCATAAAAGAGTGCATCAATTTTTTGTGGATACATTGCTGCCCATTGTGTTATGTAGCCTGATGAAAGTGCTTTCCACCATTGATCATCTCTTACTTGAACTATGTCTTTGAAAATTACTGTTGTTTCTGATACATAGGCTAGCCTGTGCTCACTATCACCCCATGTTTCTTTGTCTTTTGGATCTACTGGTAGAACAAATGACCCTGCATTTCTATACTTCTGAAGCTGATAGCTGCAATAAAAAAAATTGAAGACGTGTCAGATACATGTCAGTGTTCAACATCGATGACACCAACATATGTGTGTGTCACTTAATTATTTACATCAATGTGCTCAGTCGCACCGACACCTTTAAAAAAGGTATATCAGTGTCTGTGCCGTATCTGGTGTCCGTGTATATATTCGTGCTTCATAGTTATTGTGTCTGTATCAGTGCTTCATAGATAAAATTGTTAGTTGACTCAACATGTTAGGTTAATGAATATTTGACTCAAATTTGAAAGAGTTCATGATAAAATAAGAAGAGTCCTTGATATGAAAACTTAACAAAGTAAATTAGTTGTAGGAAGACAAAAATATGCAATGGTTGACACTAGAGAATTTTTTTTCAAATGTTATGTCAAATAAATAAAAGATTCTCATTGCAAGTGTTTATGAACCTAATAGCACCAACTAGTTGAGCACTACCAAACACTTTATGGTGTTCAAATAAATAAGTCATTGTTTGACTTGTATGGTCAATGATCAAACACTATTTCACAGCTAATTTGTTATTCTATCACTAAATAACTATTTTGAATCCGATAGGGGAATACGTTAGAGCCCGTCCCAGATAATATATGGCAAATCATGTGTTGTAAGTGTGGACAATCCTCAACTTATAAGTCGATTTTGTAAGGTTGAGTTATGCTTAACCACAATTGTTAGGACGGTATCAGAGTCTCATTCAAGATTTGGTGGACCATCTGCTGTCAGGTTTCTGCTAACGGACCACCTATCATTTTAATTTCACACTCCATATATCCAGCTCTGGCCGTGAGAGAATGTGTTAAAAATCTCGTATTGGACAATATATGATCAGAATAAAGTAAACATATGTAAAAGAAAACAGAGAAGTTGAAAATAAGATTGTACCTGAGGTGTAGATCTTCACCAGTAGAGAAAGTAAAAGGTGTTTCAATGAAAAGAGTCTTAACAAGTTCAGCAGATAAAAACCAAGAGCTTGAAAGAAAATCAACCTGCACAATTCTGTCAATGGTGATATCATAAGCAGGATCAGGCAAATACAAACCAGCTTCTCTAGACTTAAATTTCCTATAACTTGGAAAAGTAAAATCCTTCTGTCTAAATGGCAATATCCTTCCAATACTTCCCAAAACAGAATTCTTATACTTTTCGGTCCCCGCAACATGCGCCAAAATCTCCAACATTTTCTTTCCAGGTATCATATCATCATCCACAATATAAACCAAATCAGCTTCTGTTTGTAAAGCCATTTGAAACCTTCCGTAGTACTTGAAATCGTAACTCGAACTTATGAAACTGATTCTCGAGTCGTTATAGCTTTCCACGATTCTTTTTAACGACGCCTCATTTGGACTCCCGAACGAAAGCACCCAAACTTGATGAAAAGGAAGTGTTTGTTGAAGTAATGAGTCAAGCTGTGCACAAAGTGTTTTTCTCTTGAAGTGGTTTAACAAAACATTGATTTTCGGCTTTTTAAGATTCGGACCGTTTAAATCCCATTTGGATTTCATTTTCATAAGCTCTTGAAGAGTCTCAGTTCCAATGGTTTTGTTTTGGAAACTCAAAACTTCTTCATAAAGCTCTCTCTTTAGCTTAATCATCTGAACATCACTTGACTTCTTTTGCAAGAAATCAATTTTCTCGCTCTCGCAAACAAGCGACGGAAGTTGATTGTTGTTATCTTCTTGGATGAGTGAAGAAGATGATTCTTGGTAACGTCCTACAATGTGTGGTGTGATCATGAGATGCTTCCATTGTTGCGCAATTCTTGTGAAATCGGGTTTGGTTCTTAAATCAATAGAAGGACCCATGTAATACAATAAAAATGTTGCGTAAACTGCAAAGAAAAATTGAAGACATGTTAGTGCTGCAACAAATTTTGAGGAGACAGCTTTTTGAGGCTTCATTTTTGTCTTTCCAGCAACATAGTCATTCAACATTCCTTCCAAGGAATCTCCACTTCTCCCCGTCGAATTTCGACTAAAACTCATGTTACAAATTCGCGACAAAACAATTCAATGTCCTCTAACCTGAAAAACAAAAATGCAAATAGAAAAAGTTAGTTAATCTGACTTCTAACTTAAGCTACAACGCAATCATGATTTAAAATTGCAGTTACGATATTGAAATTACAGCAATACACACTGCAATTTAAAATCATAACTGCATTGATAAATTCACGGAAAGAAACTATAGTTCAACATAATCTAACCAAATATTTGAATCACTAATATTTATGATTGTGATTGAAATGAACTAGAAGATGAATAGAGAAAACCAAAGGAGAGATGATGATATCTTGAAATTTGAAGAGTAACATTTTGTGTGCATTTTGTTCAATATATATACACAAAAATGCAAGTGGAAAAGTAGGCAAGAAAATTATAATGCATGTCACGTGTATTTTCCATAAGGAACTTAAAGATACCATTTAAAAGCCAAATTTGGTGCCTTAGAAAAAGGTAAGGCTGCGTTTTTGGCACTTAACTCATATTTTTAACCCCAACTATAAGCTAAGATTTAACCAATAATTTCATTATTATATTGTGATTATAGAAAAAGAAAAGCATGGTTTAAGGGAATTAAGTCAAAAAATATAAACTAACACGAGAAAAGAACATGGGGTAGAATGAAATGGAAGTGATCATATGCATGAATAGATAGATATGCTGGTTAAAAAGATAAATTAAAAGAGAGAAAACAATCAAATCCTTTGCTTCTTCAGCAAATTAAGGTTGCATAAAACTAGACGCATATATATGATTTATTCCACAATTAATGAAGCTTAAACTACAAGAAAAATTATATAAGTCTTTTTTTTTCTAACAATATATAAGTTTTTTTTCTTTAACGCTTCGAATATTTTATAGAACTTATTGATTTAATTCCGAGTTCGATCAAAGATAACTATTTTAAATTGAGTTAAACTCGGTCCATTATCTAAAGAGGATAAAAAATCTGACAACATCAAAAAATAATTTATAGACTATCAATAATTATAATGTTCTTCATAACTCTGATAAGTTAGAAAAATGTTCCAAATTTAAATATATATTTCTGTAACTAATCTCTTGTATAACTATTAACCGAAGTCACTTAAAACAATAACTTACTAACAAGTATAATAATTTAGTTACAAATACTACATAGTGTGAACTGATTCATATAATTATAGAATAAAAAATAAAACCGAGTATAGTATATGGCGTGTGGTTGACCAAGATTAATTTTGAAGGAAGATACGTAAATGAAATTAGTAGCAAACTTTTTTTAATGGTTGATTGCCGAACTTGCGGGTTCGACGCAAGAAAACTCATGGCTTGCATGGTTACTAATTAGCTTATAGAAGAGACAATTCAAATGCATATTGATTGCTTATTATATCATCAAAAAAGGTATATGGTATTGGTGGAATAATGGTAGCGCAGCGTTTACCAGCTATTAAACTTGTCATTATTTTTCTTAATAAGATTTTGTTGTCCCAAAACATGAGTCATTTTTAATCTATTTTTTCTACTTATTTCTGGTCCGTTTCCATTGAAGTTGCAAGTGGCTAGAGGGATAAAGAGATGATGAAAAAAATCAACGAATAGAATAGATAGAGTCGCCCTTGATATTTGTTGATTGCTAAAAATATAGATATGGAATACGATATACGACTATAGCCACCCTAGGGCATTCACACAAAATTAAGAGTAGGTTTGTAACATTTTACTTTTGGAATATTTAAAAATAAAATTACTATTTTAAAAACTTTTTACTAATTTGTAATAGATTTTTGTAAAATAAAAATCTAAAAGAAAACTTCAAAAAATTGTTTCAAATAAGAATATCTTATCTATATAACAAATTATATATATATATATATATATATATATATATATATATATATATATATATATATATATATATATATATATATATATATATATATATATATATATATATATATATATATATATATATATATATATATATATATATATATATATATATATATATATATATATATATATATATATATATATATATATATATATATATATATATATATATATATATATATATATATATAACTTTAAAAAAACAACTTTTTATCATAGCAGATCTTTTCAACCTTCCACCATCACCACCACTCAAACAACCACCCATAAATATTAAAATGATATGTTAGATTCATATTTCTTGCATCCCAGTGACAATCTTGGGATTAGGGGCGGTAAAATGGGTCGTCGGCCCCATCCCGCTTAAATTTATCAAAAAAGGGTGGAGCAGATAAGTCTGTCAAGTTTAATTGAGTTTTAAAATCTAACCTGTTCTGCCAAGGTGACGAGTTGGCGGGCGGCGAGGTTGCTTGCCTATTTTTTATTTTTTTATTTTTATTTTTTTAATAGATTAATATCTTTTTTTGTAACACCCGAGGCTGAAGAGGGCAGATAGTGGTTGTAACACGCAGCACCGAAGAGTGTGGAGGATGGTTGCCCGAATTTACATCAAAAGGAGAGGGATCCTAAGGCTATGCATGTATGAGACTGCATGGCTGAAAGAAGGTTTTTAAGGATTGATAGACACTACATATACTAACAAGATGCATCTTTTTTCCGGTAATCTAACAAATAAGAACTCCATAGTTAATGAGGTTTGACTAGAAGTAACATTTGGATGGGTGACCTTTTGGAAAATTTCTCAAAAAGCATGTGAGTGAGGACAAAGTATGCTGAAAAAATTTGTATTGGTTTGTACAGTCAGTCGGTAATCATGAAAGCAATATGTGACGTTACAAATGGTATCAAAATAAACATCTCCCAATATGAATGGTTCAGGGACGAACCAAGCGGAAGCTGATGGACATATAACACATAAGGCCCAAAAGGACAGAGAATGGTTGTAACACTAGAGGCCGAAGAAGATGAAGAGTAGTCGCTGAATTCATATCAAAATGTGAGGAATCCTGAGGTTGTGCAGGGATGAGACTGCATGGTTGAAGGAATGCTTATAAGGGTTGATTGGTACTACCAATACCAACACGATGCATCTTTTTTTGGTAGCCTAACAAATAAGAACCCCATAGTTAAGGAGGTTTGACATGGAGTAGTATTTGGATGGGTGACCTTCTGGGAAGTTTCTCGCAAAGCGTGCGAGTAAGGAAAAAACATGCTGAAAAGATTCGTGTTGGCTTGTGGGGTCAGTCGGTAATCCTGAAAGCAGTATATGGAGTTACAAATGGTATAAGAGCTCGACCTCTCCTAGTACGATGTGGTTTGGGGATGAACCAAACGGTAGTTTGTGGGCATGTAACACTCGAGGCAGAAGAGGGCGGCGAGTGGATGCAACACTCGAGGCCGAAGAGGGCAGAGAATGGTCGTGGAATTCACATTGAAAAGAGAGGGATCTTAAGGTTGTGTAGGGATGAGACTGCATGGTTGAAGAAAGGCTTATAAAGATTGATTGATACTACCTATACCAACACGATACATCTTCTTTTCGGTAGCTTAACAAATAAGAACTTCATAGTTAAGAAGGTTTGACTTAGAGTAGTATTTGAATGGGTGACCTTTTGGGAAGTTTCCCAGCAAGCGTGTGAATGAGGAAAAAACATGCTGAAAAGACTCGTGTTAGTTTGTAGGGTCAAACAATAATCCTAAAATAAATCTGAGGTGTTACATATGGCATGGTGAAGTAACAAAAAAACATATGTCACATAGATTTGAAGATAATGAGTTTATGAATGATACTCTAGAAGATATGATTCGTGATATTAGAGTAGATGCTTTTAAGAAAGCTCATGTGGAAGATACTTTTCAAAAAAACCTCGAAGAGTCATTATATCTGGGATGCAAAAAATTATTTAATCTTAAGACAAGATGTGGGTGGACGGGTAAATGTTTCATTAAATTGCTTGAATTATTGCAAGAAATGCTTCCATAAGGTAACATTTTTCCGAACTGTAGTTATGAGGCCAAGAATATAATGTGTCAAATGGGTTTGGACTATGTCAAAATACATGTATGTCGTAATGATTTCATATTATATAGGAATGAGTATGAAAACTTGAAGGATTGTACAAGGTGTGGGGAGTTATGCTACAAGAAGAAGGACAATGGTGTTGAAGATGATGATGGCATAACTAGAAAGGGTGTTCATTCCAAGGTGATGTGGTACCTACTGATAATTAAAAGGTTCAAGAGACTATTTTCTAATGTAAATGACACAAGGAAAAATAGATGGAATGCAGATAAAATATTATGTGATGGAAAATTATCCGTGTAGATGATTCATTGCAATTGAAGAAATTTAATTCATCGTTTTTAGATTTTGACCTTGAGCCAAGGAACCTTAAACTTGGACTTGTCACCAACGGAATGAACTCATTTGGTAATTTGAGTACCCATCATACTTCATGGTCTATTCATCTCACAATTTACAAGTTATCTCCTTGGTTGTGCATGAAGCCCAAATATATGATGTCATCAATGATGATTTTGGGTTCAAAACAATCAGGAAACGGCGTGGATGTTTATTTAACACCGTTGATTGAATATTTAAGAATTTTGTGGGAGGAAGATGTTGATGTTAATGATGCGTATATAAGTGATAACTTTAAGCTGTGTGCTATATTGTTTGCCATAATCAATGATTTTCTTGCATACAGTAATTTGTCTAGGTACAACGTCAAGAGACATAAAGCATGTCCAATATGTAAAAATGATACATGCTTACACCAATTAAAAAATGGAAAAAAATTGTTTACCTTAGGTATCAAAAATTTATAAGACTTAATTATCTGTATTGTAGACTGTGGAAAACTTTTTATGGAAAACATAAGTTGGGTATCTCTCTAAAGCCCTTAACTGAGAAGGAAGTTTATAAAATAAAACAACATATTAATGTTGTCTTTGAAAATAAACGAAAAGGGAATGTGGAGAAAAATATTTGGAAAAAGAGGTCGGTGTTCTTTGATCTTCCATATTGGTCTAGCCTCAATGTAAGA